CTTATCTTGTCAATTTAATAAACAAGCACTCCAATGTCGTCAAAAATCTCCACATTTTCTTGATTCTTTCAGGTCAAATTCAGTTTGTTCCCTATTGTTTATATACGTATTATACTATGTGGTTGTCAACAATATATATTATGTCTGTATTATAATTTACTCATTGTTTAAATATAAGACTTTTTCTTAAGGATAAAAACTTGTATATGTGTTTGCCTATCCATATTAAAATAATAAAAAAATTATCAAAAACAAAATATTGAGACATGTGATTAAAAGATATTAAATTACTTTTAGTTAACTTTTATTTTCCATTATATTCCTATTAACAATTGATTATTTTAATATAAAGTTAAATACTTTTTCCGAACTTTTTTAAATTTTATGCTTAGTCTAAAATGTATTTCTTTTTTAAAACAATCCAAACAAAATAAATTTTATACCTAACATATACAAAAATAAAATTCATTTTTATAATTAACATAAACATAATGAATTTTAACCTTTTTTTTAAACGACCAATGCACACACTAGTAAAAATGGGATTAATTATCCTTATATCAACTTGTGCTGTCTAAATGTAATTAAAGATGTCTTTGATTTTTCATTAGAAAGCTTAGATGAACATTGAGTCCACTAACTAGACTCAAGCATTGAGATAATCATGCTTTGGAGTGTGTGAACAAAACCTAATGGATTGGTGTTTGAACTCAACATCTAATTGAAACTTTCTAACGAAAAATTAAACACATCCTATCATATATATGGTTGAACCTAAAGACATGATGGGGTGATTTTCTTTTATTTTTTTCACATATCATTGGCACAAAAGTTATTGTAGTAAGCTAAAAACGTAGCTTATTTTTATAGTATTTTTAGTAAAATTCTTTAAAAATAACATTGAAATCAAAGTGATTTTCATGTAATTATTTATGGAGGAAATTTTCTCAAATTTCAAACCGGTACCCTCTTAGCTCAACAATCATACCAAATCTAAAGTATTACAATCAAGATATCATTCTTAGAGATTTGTTGGCACTTTATAATAACACTATCCTAGTTACAATTTGTGTAAAAGTCATATATAAAATACATGATCATATTCATTTGCATATGATAAAATTTACATGAGACCTTAGAATGTTTAAAAGTGAGTAAACTTAAGAGAAAATTAGAATGAGAAGACATTAGGATTGGATTTCACCTTACTAATTTTGATGTTTTCCTATGATTCATATACATATGATCCATTTTTCAATGTTATCGAATTCTCAAAAGCTCATCTGACCTGACTCCTTGAAATCAAATATTCTAAGAACTTTAACCTAATACCCGATCCCTTGGTGTATCAACTTAGAGTTCTTGCATTACGATCAAGAATTTCTCTAACTAATGATTGTAAAACTATCCTAGTCTTTAGAATCATTAGGTGTTTGGTTCAATTCAGATTACAAAAACGTTTTCTAACAATGATTGCAATCAAGATCATATAATAAGAAGTGACTTGCTTTAAGCATTAAAATCAGAATCAAAACACTAACATTAGAGTTCTTGTTCACCTTCACACAAAAATAGTACACCAAACACACTAGAAAGAAATTTACAAGACAAGCAACAAAAGTAAAATTAAGAAAAGTTAAACTCAAATATAGAAAGATGTGAAAAACTAGAAAGAATAGCAAAGAAATAGACAAGCAAACAACTAAAGCACAAATTTGGAAGCTAGGACAACAAAGGAGTAATCCTAGGATAGGTTCTATATTTGGATCACAAAATCAATGAAGAATCAAATCCACTTCCAAATTAAATGCAAATTACAATGAAATGAAATGTGACATATTTTTGAAATGGTTTTCACAAAATGCTCCACTTGCATTTTTATTTTATCACAAATATTTTCCAGTGCTTTTTCTTTTGTATTTTCCTTTTGTTCTTTTCTCTCTTTTTTTTTACTCTTTTGTTTTTCTTTTATTTTGGAGCTATTTTGTGACTCTTTTATTTTGTTTAAGCTACTATTTTAAAGTCATAAAATGTTCCAAGAGATAGAACACAAAATTGCAAGAAATTTAGAAGTATAAATAATCCAAAATGACTCTGTGGAAGAAAATATGCACAAAGTTTTGATGATGCCAAAGCATTGAAGAAAATAAAGGTCAAGTTAAAGCAAGCTGATCAAGAAGCAAAATCTCAAGTAATAACTAGATAAGTCTTGACTGCTTAGCTTAGTATGTAAAATGAACTTTTAGAATTTGCAAATTTGACTTGGCCATTAAAATAAGAATTTCAACAAAACTTAAACTTAATACTTTTGAATATAAGAATAAGTTGTTCGAAAAGAAAGAAAAAAGAGTATTCAAAAGTATTCAAAAGATTAAAAAAAAATATTTTTAACTGGAAAATAGAAGCTCTTTATATCTTAAGTTTTCATAAGCCAAAACAAGTGACATGTTTCTGGTAATCGATTACCACTTGCTGTAATCGATTACCAGAGAAAGAAAACCTTTCAAAATGTTAAAATGCTCTCTGGTAATCGATTTCCACTGACTATAATCGATTACCAGAAGAGAAATTTTCAAAATTCGAATTTGAACTATACAACGTTTCAAACATTTTGAACTTAAACCGTTGTAATCGATTACCAAGTCTTGTAATCGATTACCAGAGCCTATTTTCTGAAAAATTATAGAGAGTTACAACTCTTCATGAAAAGACATAACTCAAGATACAATTGTCTATAAATACCTATAATTTTTCAGAGAAAGGTGACGAACTCTATTGTGAAAATCATTTACAAAAACTACTTGGCCAAAAATCATTTGCAAACAATTATCTAAAGAGTTCATCAAGTTCATAGAAAGTGTAATATCTACTCTTTAAAGAGAGTCATTCTGTAATACCCTGTTGATCTGTTGATCTGTAAAGGAGAAAGGGTTTTTCTCCTTGTTGGTGTTTGAATCTCAACACAAGGAAAGGGAGTTCCGAGGTGTTGGAGGATTCAATTCTTGTAAGGTTTACAAGAGTAGTGGAAATCTCAAGTGGGAGACTTGAGGACTGGATGTAGGCAGGATTGGCCGAACCAGTATAAAATCAAGTTTGCAATTCTTCTTTCCTTACACTTTTAATTTCTTGTTATTAATTATAATTGTGTGGTTTGCATCATCATTCATTCTTTACATACAAATTTGTCTAAGGAAATAAATTGATAAAAAAGTAATTGGAAAAGTTTTTTATATGAGGAAAATTAGAAAACTTAATTCACCCCCCTCTCTTAAGTTAATTGAGGCTAAGGGACTAACAGACTCTAAAAATTGGTGAAATTAAGGCTACTACTCTTGTTTCGCTTAACCCATTGTTTCTCAACTTTTTGTACATAAAAAATATTGGTTCATTCTCTATTTTGGTTCAGCCACAAGAGTTTCAAATAGTTTCACCAAGTTTAGATTCAAATTGGATAGAAGAAAATCAAGGAAACAACGAAATATTGAAAATTACAAGACATATGGAATCCTAACTCTATTAGAAACATGTTAATGATCTAATAACATGTATAAACTCAAAGATCATAAACAAAAAGCTACACAACAGATTCATCCAGCACATATATCATGTCTTTTCTTCAAGATTTCAAAAAGAAAAAGTACTAAGAAGTGTTGACATACAAAGACTAAACAAAACAACTAGTACATAACATTTTGCATATATTTCAAACTAAAAATGACTCAAACTCATGCATATTTGTTGAGATTCCATTTCTAGAAGGATAGAAATTATTTGACTTATTCAAAACTACCTAAAACATTTTTTACTCTTTAGAATGACAACTCACTTTTATCTAAAGTACATTTGAATTGTTATTGTAATTTATCATTGTGAATATTTATTTTACTATTTTTACAAATCATCTGATTTTCTCTTGATTTCTAATACTTTTTCTTCCCTATAATTTACAAGCATGAAATAAATTACCTTCCTTGATAGTTATGGAGTTAAATAGTCTTCTTAGTAGAGCATATAATAAATAGTAAAAAAGTTTTAATGTTAAAACTCATTTATTTTCAAGAATCTTTCATTTTCCACTATCGGGAAATGTACATAAAGGAATTCAACTTTCTATACGTTTGTCATGGGATATTATTTAGAAAAATAAACTTTTACAAATTGATCTTTTAAGTTATCATTTAGTTAAGATTGTCTATTTTAAAAATAAGTAAGAAAATATTAATTTGATTCTCACTTGAACATGTTCTAAACTTCTATCTTTTATAAAATAATTTATTTATTGAGAATATATAAATATTAAAGTTTACTCAATTGAAGTCAAGCCTTTCTAAGAAGGAGTAAAAATATTTTCACAATCTTAACACATGCTTTTGTTTCAAATAATGTTTTGAAATATGTGTTTGACTATGTTTATACACGACTAAGGTTGGAAAAATATTACAATGTTAGTGTTACAAAGTTTCAATGCTCTAATTGCTTATAAGGAGATAAACAATTTCATAATGCCAAGTTTATTTGGTGTATAATATTTTCAATCTATAATGAATTTGATTTCCCCAAATCAATAATATATATGCTTATGTTATAAAATTTGATTTGATGTGAAATACATCAACATCATTTAGTTACATGTATATGATATGAAAGATAAGTTAAGTGTTCAGGTGACTTTAGTATTCTTTATTAATGTCCAAAGCTTCTATAAAGTTGTGTCATATATAGGTAATAAAATTAGTTTTGTAAATGTAAATTACTTTAAAAGAAAATAGAGGAAAAGGGAAATTAAAGCAATGAGTATAACAACTTCAGAATTTTGCAATGTAAGCATATTTGTATTAAGTTTTCCAAAAGATAGGTTGTCATATACCCTGTGGACCTAACATGTTAATTTCCAATATTTAAAAGAGTAAGAAATAATGTTCAGACAACAAGCAAATAAAACAAAACAAATGAATGGTTTTTCCAATCATATAACAAAACCAAAATTGAATAACATACAACTACAAAAGAACAAGCCCAAGTTCAGATGGTTTCAAGGCATTATGAATCCTATAATTGTACAAGTAGTAGTGAAGTTGTCCATCTCCAGGACCAAACTTGAGCTCTTTAAGGAAATTCTCATTGTGCATTACATCCAAAGCATTGAAAACATCAAAATCCTTTTGTTTTGCCATAATTAGCACATCATTCATCAACCGAGCTAGTGGAGTTTTGGTGGAAACATTATAATAAGAATAAGCAACTTTCAAAATTGAGTGATTTTGATTTCCGAGGATAGAAGAAGGAAGAGTATAGAAGCTACAGAAGTCTGTGACCTCATGAGTCTTTGGACTCTCCACTAAGAAACTATCCACCACATTCTCATTGGGAAGAAGCCAATGTTCAACATCATTTTCATCAAAATCAGGTGCAACAACAAATTGGTTCAAGTAGTTCCTAAGTAGTCGAGTAACAGCAGGGACATCCCGTAACTCCATTTTCCTAAATCCAGGAGTAACCGTTGAATTGGGCAATTTGTAAAGTTTTATAGTTCGACTCATCGTCATCCTAGCACCAAGCCTTGAGAACCCAACATCAATTAGCTTCTTAGGATTCAAAGATCGATGCCAATATTGACAACTTGTGATTGGTGTTGGAAGAACAATCCCAGCTGTATAGGCTGCTTGCCAAATATTCTCCAAATGAACCCTCCTAGTGATTTCCTTGATCATAACAGGGGCAAGCCTCTTGGACCTCAACTTTTTATGAACACACAAGAAATTGATCTCAGCCATCTTCATAACATCCTTACTAACCGTAATCCTAGCGGGGACGCCACTAATGAAAGCAACCAATTTCTTTGATGTCTTTGCTCTCACGCCAATGTGCCAACTCCGGTAATAACCAGGGACACGCAATGCCCAACTCAAAAACTTTTTGGAATAGTTGAACCTAAACATGTTCTCATCATCCTCGACATAGTTATTCTTGAGTAGAACATAAACCTCATCACAAGTTTCCTCAGAGTCCATGTCACATGTTGTCCACTCATAAGCATTAGGAAGGTTATAAGGCTCTTGCTTAACCTTAGACAAAGGTGTTGGGGGCTTAATAGGGCCTTCAGGTAAACTAGGGTCCCCAACATCCTTGTATTGCCCCACAGGTTGAGTTTCCCAAAACTTGTGTTTCTTACCAAGAGACATTGAATCTTGGAAACTTTGTACAATGGTTTCTAATGAGGTGCTACTATTATTAGCCATAAAAATTGTTGAGTCTCCATCAATAAGATCTGATTTTTTCTTTAAAGACTCAGATGGAACATTGCTGTCACCCATCTCAATTATCAAACAAATCCAATGCTGTGAAAATAATAAAAAAAAATCAAAATCTTGGTAATGAAAAGACAAAAATATTTGAAATTTTGTATCCAAATTCAAATTGAAATGAAGAAACAAGAAAACCTTGATTTGATGGAAATTGGACATGAAATAATGGAATTAGTGCGAAATCAAAATGAAATTATAAATGTAAAACGATAAATAAAATTAAAAAGGACTCACTGTGTGATTTAGATCGAGGATGGATTGAAATAAGACTCACTTGGAGGAATAACGAAAATAAGTATGTGATGTGATGGGGTTTCTAATGAGAGGGGCTGGAAAACATTGTAGAAGATATAGGTACAATACAAGTGTTTTATCATTTACTTCTATCTCAGGATGGGTTGGTTAACCAAGGACTCATTGTTTGAGTTATATTATATTTTTATAAAATTAAAATTATAAAATTTTTCCTTTAATTTTTATTTAATTTAATTTTTACTTGTATCATTAACTTTTTTATTGAACTAGCATTTTAATTTATATAATGTAAGGGATATTTTTTTATAAAAAAATTATAATAAACAAATAATTTTTGCATATAAAAATTATAGTATAATTAAAATTTTTAATAAAAAATATTTTTCTTATCATATAAATTATATTTCAATTAAAATTTGTAAATAATAAATATTTATTTATTATTATTTTAATTTGCAACAAAATATTTTTAAAATTTACAAATATGAATAAATTTAGTTAATTATTATCTTCTATTTTTGTTGGTTTCAATATTGTAAATTTTTTAAATTGTAAAAAGAATTTTTACCATTCATTACTAATGATGCAACACACATAAAAATGTTATATTTCATGTTATTTCAATACTAGCGTGGCATGGTTAAATTCACATCACAACACTATTAATTTATGACGACACAAATTATTTAAATTTACAAAAAAATAAAAACAAATAAAATTTTTTGTAGAAGATAATAACTAAATTTGTCTATATTTATACAATTAAAAACATGTTTCATTTTTTTTAGCTTTTTACATTTTCTTTAAGACTAGTTCTAGGTTGTTCCACCTTTACATCTAGTCTACCATTGATCATTGTTAGTTACCGATAATAATGATTTTTTGTAATTTAAATTAGAGAATGACTTTTTCAATCTTTATATAATAATTTTTCAAAATACAATTTATGCAGCTTGTGCTTTTTGCTTATCCCTCCATTGCATACTTGTAAATTTTTTGCCCTCTCACAAAATCAATGGTCACCTTTGCATCACTCTCATCAAATCTCATTTCATGAATAAATCCAAAATGGTCTTTTCATCTATGGCTAGGTAAGAATTGTCGATCCGAATGCAACCTGAAGAAATCACAACCCAGATTTTTATTTTGAGTGACTTAATTGGTATTAGATTAGAACAATACAATAAAAATGGTTTTCTATGAGTACACTTGGGTAGTTACGAATAATAAAAATAATTTCCATCAAAATCCGCACTTGACCAACTATAAAATGACGTATTTAAATTTAGTTGAATCAAGTTGACATCTGATGCAAATATTGCAGTTCACAAAGATAATTATTGCTTTGTTCATAAAATTAGAAAGTTTCTCTCTCAACTCATAATTATTATTTTGTTCGAAGAGCTAAAAAGTTTCTCTCTCACGCTCACGGTCTTAGGTTTTTAGTTTATATAGTCTAGTTTTTTTTAGCTTAAAGCTTCAACAAATTTTCTTCACTTAAGAAGAGATTTTTCTCTGACCCACGTTGTTGTTGCCTTGGTCTGTAACTTTTTTCATGAAGGAGAATCCAATTGGACTCCATGGCGTTCTTCATTAGCAATGATAGTGAAGACTTGTGGCAAGCATTATTGTCAATGGTAGTGATATTTCACACTTAAGACCTCCCTTGTCTTCGTCTTCCCTCCTTTGGAATGTTTTGCCTATTTATGTGAGTGGTTGGTCTCTTCCACCCATACAACCATGGACTAGACCTCTAGTTAAGAAAGTATGGTTATTTGCAAAGTTTCTTGTTTTTTTAAAATAGAAAATCTAAATAAACCACCTGACACCACCCAAATTCGACATCACTTGAACCGTTACAAACTAAAAGCTTAATCGGTCAAAAATAGATTATATTTTCCAATGTTCAGTTTACATCGGATTGGGTGTTTTGGGCTTGAACTCGCCCAAACCCGACCAATGCCCACCCCTATAATTTCATCATGACTTTTGCAAACACTAAACCCACCACATTGTAGCAATAATGCTACTTGTAAGTAGTCATCGTATCCTTAACACACTACACATTCATCTTAAAATCTATGAGTGTACTTTAAGGGTGCCGAGGGTGGAGATTTTTTTAATAAGTTATGTGTCTTGAGACTTACACTTCTGTTAAGCACGTGTTGTGATGTGATTTTCCAACACTCAAGAGTTGTTGCACTACATACGAGACTTGAAAGTTGCTATAACACATTAATGAATTGCAATAATATGGAAGACGTGTGTTGGAAATGTTTTAAAAGCTTAACAATTCATCAAATTGGCCTAGGTTGTTTGATGGTTTTTATAAAATAATGGAGTGTTTTATTTAATTGAGGAAGGTTTGAGAAATTATAATATATAAATTATTTGGAGAAAATATAAGTTTACATTATATTGTTGTATGTATTTTGTTTTAATTAATTATGAGGGAAGGGAAGTGTGGTCGGGTTTTACTCTAGGAATTAAGTGTGGGTTAAGAAAGGGTTACCATTAGTTGATTCAATTTATGCTTCTCAAACGTGTATCAAGATAAAGAGAAAGTGAGTAGTATTGTTCTAGGGATTGGTCCCTAATTTCATTGTTTGTATTCCATGCTCTACGGGGAATCTTAGAAACCCTTACTTTTACTTATGTTTCGAGTGATTGCTTGATAACATGATTCTATTGTGCCTTGTTGTTGATATTTTCATTGTGTATGATGTGAATCATGAATGAATTAATGTGTATAAAAACATGTGAGGAACCCTTAGTTCTTGTAGGAAACCCAAATTGATAGAGTAAGTTATAAATAGATATTAATTGATGATGTTTGAGCAATTGTTTTTGATTTTGAGTAAATGGTGTTATAATTGGGTAGTAATATGTTTAAATTGATGATTTTGCCAATTGGATTGGAAGGTTTGATGTTTGGGTTTGTCTTGTGCGATTTTCGCATATTCTACATATATAGACAAAATTGGTATCGCGTCAAACACCACTTGGGCAGCATTAGGCATGGGAGCAACATAGAACACATGTTGATCTTTGTGGCCTATGCATTGGGCATGGGGTTGACCACACCCAACGCAAGAGCTCTTTATTGTTTTTTCACTAGGTGTAGGACCTTTAGAGAGTAGCATGTGCTCTCTATGAGTTTGACATCGAGCACGATGGTTGCTTTGTCAGGCATCACTTGGAAAACAAGTGAGGACTTGCATATTGAGGTAATTTGATGGTGTTTAACTTAAGGATATGATTCATGACATTGATAATGATATGATAGTGATTAGATTTTGTGAACTTTTATATCTTTTGATCAATGTTTTATTTAGACAATCTTTATTGCTTTATTCTTATAATGTATATCGACATGAAGGTTCAGAGGGTGTCACGCCTTTCTTGTATTAAAAGGCATATTTTAGTTTTTCATTATTTGAAGAATTAAGTTTGACTCAGACTAGTTCGTCCATTTTTCATGAAAATTGATAGGTTTAATCTGGTTCTCCTAATTTAAGAGAGCATGCATAACCACTGAGCCATATAAACTTGTGTTTTAATGTGTGACAAATAAAATATATACTTAAATTATATTTTACTTATACTTCACTAACAATGGAACTTGAATCTAGACGAATGTGATTATTTAACTCCTTAGTGACTTTTAAACCTATATGTTCTATTGTTATACAATTAACTTAAATAATTTGTATACTATATTTTTAAATTTAAAATTATGCATTAATTTATGTGATTCAACCGGTCTATTATTTGGTTGCTTTGTCATTATTATATTGATTGCAATTTTTTAGGTTTTCTTTAAGGCATTGTATGAATTTTATTGAAATTTATAAATATGAAATATATATGACAAATAATTTTTTTAAAAAATTAATAAAGACTAGGTCATGTAGTTCAATTAATGACCTACGGATTTGATCTCTGACTCATTGACCCAATATCTTAATTAGTTGATGATGAATCCGATTCTTAAAACATCACTTGCAAAGTATTCCACCTTAGCCTTGGTCTTTCTTTTAAATTTTAAGTTGCGACAATTTTGACCCAATAAAATATAGGTCACAACAAAAATGGGATATGATTTAAAATATTGGCATAATTATATATTGACCAAGAGTTTAAGATGAAACGAAGTTAAATTTAACCCATACAAGTTATTATGATAAACTTAATCTATAATCCTCAATAAGTTCTTTCAATTGAAAAAATGGTAGAGAAAGTTGGATGTCTTATATATGTACATGTTTGAATATGATGTAAAAAGTAGACATGAAGTCAACAAACAATTTAATCAACTTACAACTAAAATTTCAAGCCAACATACTACTACCACAAAAGGAATACTTTAAGATCCAATGTGATGATGAATTTGATCTTAAATATGAAAAATAAAAAAAGTTAGCTCCAAACACACCATGAAAATATATGCTACCACAACGTTTATAATTATCATACTAGTAGGCAAAAACTTCTATAATATATGCTTTACTTACCTCATTCTCAAATGGTTAAAAAGAAGGGTAATTAATTAGACATTTTAGTTAGATTTTTGAACTTTAATTAAAACCAAATGATAAATTTATTTATATTCTCATTATATAGCTATAAAATATCATTTTTTTTTTCTAAATTGAATGGATTGCACTTAACACCACCAACATAGTCTATTATCTAAGATCTTCCATTAATCATTCACTCACTTGCAAGTTAAAGACGAATATTACACGACTCAAAATAGTATGACAATTAGTCAACACATACTTATAAACATGGACATATATTTTAAGAGTTAATAAAAATATGCTTAATAAATAGGTTTAATTAAGTCTAACTTTATTTATTTATTTTTTTGTAAAAACAATATTATATATTAAAAGTAGGGGAAAAGATAGTTCATACCTTTATTGCAAAAATAAAATAAAATAACTTAGTAGTTATTATTAATATAGTGGGTAATTGCTTTATTATTTTTATATTTTTTCCTATTTTATCCTTAAGAGATAGTTAGTGAAAGAAAATATTCTAATATAATATAAGGTTATAAAGATCTTAATAAAAATGGAGACCAAAGGGGGATATTCTCTTTATATATTTTCATGCTAGATAATATGACATAAATTATGAAAATAATAATTAATTAAATTGATTTATGATTTATGTGGTTTAAAAAATGGAAGCGTTAGCCAAAAATGTTAAGGATGTGAGATATAGAAGGTAAGTGATTTTATATTAATTTGACCGCAAGTGTGGATTCTACATATAATCTTCCCTTATGATGAGATTTTTCATTATTAAATCTCAAGTGTTTTATGATCTTTTAATCTTTTGAAGATAGTTATGTATAGTTTTCTTGTACATGGATTCTCTATAGTCATCTCTACAACACCTCTACAACCTTTTTCTACCATTTTACTTCATTCATTCTTTTGCTCTTTTTTACTTTTGGTATTTTTTGTTATAAAGGAAACATTGGAATAAAGGATCTCTTTTGAGTTTTCTTTGTACCTAGCCTTTTAAAACCAACATAATGAATGATTTTCTTCGACATCAGCCTCTCCAAAGCTAAACACTAAACAATTTTTCCTTATAATTTTTTGAAACTTAACCAACCCCACTTTCATTAGGATTTTAGAAAATTATTTTTGACAACACTTACATAAACTATTACAATGTCAACAAAGTATTTTTCTCTATCCTAGTTTAAAACATTTAACACTAAATAATTTGAAATAGAAACATTTCATTATCACTATTGAGCTTAACAACACATTGTAATTTACAATAGCAAATTCTATGACAAATTATAACCATATTAAGTTTTAACATTTCAAACCATTCAAAGCCAAGAAAATGAGTTTATATTTCTTACTTATTTTCTAAAGACACGTGAACCCATCATTCATTCTCCATAATAAATTGATGAGTTTATTTTGTTATTATCTATAATAATATATAAATGCGATTCATTATTCTCATGTACACAATTTTTAAGATATTTTTACCTTTTATTTACTATGCACGCTAACCCATCTTTCATTCTCCATAATAAATTGATGAGTTTATTTTGTTATTATCTATAACAATATATAAAGATGATTCATTATTCTTATGTACATAATTTTTAAGATGTTTTTACTTTTTATTTACTATGATAACTACGTACTTCTTTCTTTTAAAGTAGGATAACTTAGTAATTTTGCTTTATTAATTTAAATAAAAATTATTATTTATCAAAAATAATCTACATATCTCATTTATTAATTTAAATAAAAATTATTATTTATCAAAAATAATCTACATATCTCATAACGATTATGTAACTTTCACATCTCATAACATTAATAAGACATATAGTGCCTTTTGTTTTACTAATTACAAGAATGACAAGGAGTTTTAATTTCTTTTTTCATTTTATTAGGAATAAAGATTTCACAAATTTACACTTTTGATTTCTTACTTATTTAATTAGTGTCAACGTTTTTTTTTGTTTGTCTGAGAATTTTGTCCCCATTACTTTAATCCTACAATTTTAGTTTATTTATTAACTTAATAGTTAATATTTAACAAAAATATTAACGCAACAATAATGTATTGACATTTAATGCTTTTATTAAATACTATATATCAAGACAATACATTGATTAAAATTGGTTGATTACAATAGTAGAAAGACCAAATTTAACAAGAAAAATAAATGAAGGGACCGAAGTCAAGAAATAGAAATAATATGATAATCAAAATGCAATAAAATCTAAACTATTACGAGTGCATGAGTTTGAATTTTTTCCTTTTCACATAAGAAAAGCTTTACACGACAACATGACGACAATGAAATTAAAAAAAAAACAAATAATTCTTACTTATTTATATGTTAGGTTTATAAACAAGAAAGCAATCAATGGATTAATTAATGATGCTTACATGAATAATTAAATGCTAGTGTGATTAGTTAAATAGTACACTAATTTTTTACTTCACAAACTACTCACCTTTTAATTAAGAACTCAGTATTATATAATTTCTATTACGGTACACACATAGTGTTTTTATTCTCCTAATACTCTATAAAATAAGTATTATATAAAAATTAAGAGTTTATAATAATATATTATAAGTGTGAAATAGTTTTACATTGTGAATCAATTAGATATTATTATTATAATGTTTTTTTAATTATTTATTATCAAAGTCAATCATTTAATATAAATAATAATTTGTGATTAAATAATAATATAAAATTATATTGCATTACCTATTTTTTCAAAAGTTAAGTATATTAAAAACATAAAACTAATTTTCTGATTATGGGCCGGAGCCCAACAACGGTGCATCCTGAATAAAATCTGATGGCGGTTTGACCCATGCCCGTTGACTGGGTGCAAAGTGAGTGGGGGTAAGGGCAAGGGCAAGGGCAAAATAGGAACAGAAGAAAAAAAGAGCACACTCCCTAAGCCAAAAAGGAGAGGGGTATTATGTTGCTATAATCTTCCTTGTTCTCACAGTTCCCACTCACTTTCGCAAAAACGCATTGTTCTCTCTTTCCGCGGCGTAGATCTGAGCAGTTTGGGAAACCCTAACTGCTCTCACCACTCTCTTTGCCTTCGTCTTTTTCTCCTCCGATCAACCAACGTTTCCGTCGTCCAAAGGTTGCTTTCACTCCCTCTCTCTCCTCCGATTCCACGCCATCTCTCTCTCTTTTTCTACGCCGTTATTCAATCGATGTAGCTGTTACCGCGATTTTACGATTGGATCTGCTTATGATGCCTTGGTTTCAACCCTTGCGAACGCTTAGGAACTAGGAACTTCCTTTTATCATCGATTCTGTTTCCTTTCGATACCGTTAGTATCCTGTGGATGTATTTGATTTGTTTCCTTTGCGCTCGTGACGCCTAATTTATTCTTTTTAAGGATTTCGTTTGTTTGTTGATATTTGATTTTGTTCCGACTGTGTTCTTTTGCGCTTGTGTTTCTTTTTGTCACCTTTGTTTTTTCTTGTGCTGATTTGCTTAGCGTGTGTTCTGAACTCGGATTGGAGTTTATGAACTTGATTTTATTGGAGTGAAGTGGCGTGTGATCGGAAACACCAACATATATTTGAAAGTGATTTCGTCGGAATCGCTGCTGATGTATAGTGTGGATATAGATTGTTTTTTGACGTGGAATGAGCTGTTTTTTGAGTTAGGTTGCATATAAATTGAGTTGATGTTTAAGAAGCTGGTGGTATTTTTTTTATTTATTTTTTTTCAAACTTTTTGGGTGGTATTAGATAGAATAATTCTGGAGTATAATTGCAGTATTGTTGAATTATGTCGAATTATTAGTGTTTTTATCAATTCACAAACAATGTTTTTTTCCCTTCATAATGGCCAAAGCAAAATTTGTCGCCTATTTGGCTGCAGAGCGAGAATAATGTTCGAGTGTGTACATGGATTTGCATTTGCCATACATGCTTTTAGCATTTTTGTGGCCCATTTGAGCTGCAAATGGGCTTTGGATTGGCTGGGCACCAAACCAAACATGCTTTAATAGATGACGTCATGATAGTATTTCTTTTCATCTTGCAGTCATGGCAGGACTTGCACCCGAGGGATCACAGTTTGATACTCGTCAATATGATAGCAAGATGAATGAGTTGTAAGATCTTCCACTTATTTTAAGTTTTATTTTTTCATTATTGTTTTTCGAAGTAGTTGTATAGAATTGTGTTTCATTATCATTTCTTTGCTGTGATTGTCTTCCATGTTTCAGTCTAATTTTACATGTCCAATTGCAATGGCCTATGGGTTTCTAATGTTATTTTTTTGATTTTGATAATTTGATGTTGCAGGCTTACATCTGATGTACAGGACTTCTTCACATCTTATGATGAGGTTTATGACAGTTTTGATGCTATGGGCTTGCAAGAGAATCTCCTTAGAGGCATTTATGCATATGGTAGATTTAACCTTCTGTGTCCTCTTTTATTTTCATGTGATGCCAATTGTTATTTATTGCTCTATTATTTTGGAGTGGACCATGAAATTCTTCTGTATTTTTTTTTGTTTTAAATATATGGTCATAGTATTACTCTTTGGTAACGGTGTAAGGCTTTATTTCACTAAATTTGTGTAAACTGTGGTGTTTGTTGTCCTGATGCTAGTGTTGATCTATGGATGTATGATTTAGACTAGTTTGATTTGTGTTTTAGGTTTTGAGAAGCCATCAGCTATTCAGCAAAGGGGAATAGTTCCATTCTGCAAAGGACTTGATGTTATACAACAAGCTCAGTCTGGAACTGGGAAGACAGCAACTTTCTGCTCTGGAATTCTGCAGCAACTTGACTATAGTTTGACAGATTGCCAAGCTTTGGTTTTAGCACCAACTCGGGAGCTTGCTCAGCAGATTGAAAAGGTTATGAGGGCACTTGGAGATTACCTTGGTGTGAAGGTGCATGCATGTGTGGGAGGTACCAGTGTTCGTGAAGACCAACGCATTCTATCAAGTGGTGTCCATGTTGTTGTTGGTACTCCTGGTCGAGTATTTGATATGCTGCGCAGGCAGTCACTTCGGCCGGATCACATTAAGATGTTTGTATTGGATGAGGCTGATGAAATGCTTTCCCGTGGTTTTAAAGATCAGGTGCTTGTTAATTAATAACTCCTTGTTAATTTACTGATTGTATTTCTTGTGTCTGATATGTAGTACCCATGCATTTCTTATTTTTGTATATTGATGATAAACTCATGCCTTTTAACCATGTTCATCAAGTTTCTTCATTAAATTTATTTATTTCCTTATTTGTATTTCTGATTAGTTTAATTTAATGCATGAACTGCAAATCTTGATTTCATTTGTATCAGATCTATGATATATTCCAGCTGCTTCCAACTAAGATTCAAGTGGGAGTTTTCTCTGCTACAATGCCTCCTGAGGCACTTGAGATCACAAGGAAGTTTATGAACAAACCTGTGAGAATCCTTGTGAAGCGTGATGAGCTCACCTTGGAGGGTATCAAGCAGTTTTATGTCAATGTTGATAAAGAGGACTGGAAGCTTGACACACTCTGTGATCTTTATGAGACATTGGCTATTACTCAGAGTGTCATTTTTGTGAACACCAGAAGAAAGGTTGATTGGCTGACTGACAAGATGCGAAGCCGAGATCACACAGTCTCAGCAACCCATGGAGACATGGATCAGAATACCAGGGACATTATTATGCGTGAATTCCGTTCTGGGTCCTCCCGTGTTTTAATAACTACTGATCTTTTGGCTCGTGGTATTGATGTCCAGCAAGTGTCTTTGGTTATAAATTACGATCTTCCAACACAGCCTGAGAACTATCTCCATCGTATTGGACGTAGTGGGAGGTTTGGTAGGAAAGGTGTTGCTATCAACTTTGTCACAAAGGATGATGAAAAAATGCTGTATGACATCCAGAAGTTTTACAACGTGGTAATTGAGGAGCTGCCTTCAAATGTTGCTGAACTCCTTTGATGAGATTTTTTGTTCTATCATATTAGAGGGAAGTTGGTTTCTGAGGTAAGTGTTATGTAATGTTTCTTTTCCTTTTTGCCCCTTTTGTTGTATTTCTGCTCGTAAACCTTGTTTGACTTTTTTAATAGGTGTAGTAATTTAATTTACAGTCAGTTGTCTGAATGTCCCAAGTGATAAGTACTTGCAATGTGGAATCACATTATTGTCCGAATTGGTGTATTGGTCGTTGTTGCACCTTTCTAACAAGCAAGGTTTTTGGTATACGTTTTTGGCTATTCTAACATGAGATAATTTGATTATATGTATTCGAAGTTGATTCATGGCATTGCAGACAAAACATTAATTTAATGGCGGTTGTGTGCTGTGGTACTTATTTTTTAGGTTCATGGGTTACATATTATGTTTTTTAAAGAACAGTTCATTTTCTTGGTTGCTTCATTTCCTCAATTTGAAAATGGTATTAATAAAATGAAACTGGTCATGGGTAGCCTGTTTCTAGTGATTATTGCTGCTATAATCCCAATTGAAGTAGCTATCAACTTGTCTATTATTCGATGTTCCAAAGATGGGAAGACCATGGTGCTAAAGATATTTGGTTGTGTTTATCTACTTTCCATAAAAGGCTATATGGATTGCAATCTCGTCAAATCATCAGTCACAAGTTGTTTTCTGTGGTTGTCAATGTTGTAAGCATTTATGGAACACTTGGTTAACTTGTTTATGAGCAGGATGATATTGAAATTTCAAGATTTTAAAATCATGTTTTAATTCTTGAGCAACTTTACTGGTAATTTGAAATACTGTGTAGGTTATTGAAAGAAAGTCAGTGGCGGTGGGTGATTAATGTTGCTATTTACTTGTGACAACGTCGAAGAAGCCTGTTTTGTCGGGTGATTAGGGTCACAGATAAAGTATTCCTACTAATGTTATTACACGTATTTTAATATTAAAACCCGATAATGACAAAGGAAATTGAAACTGGTTTTTGTTTGGTTGATTAAGGCTTAGCTTCCTCTTGTATTGTTCAATGTGCGATGAGCTAAGGGCCTGATTACTCGATGTTCTTTGGCTATACGCTATGCGAACTGCAGTTAAAAAAGTTATATATTTGTGATCAACGTGTTTCTAATTTTTAAGGACTGGGTTCGGAAGTTGTGAGTGGTCATTTAACCTTAGCTAACATCGCGTTCGCCAAAAAAAAAAAAAAAAGAATTTGAAGTCTGTTTAAAGGTGAGATGTATGTTTCATCGAAAAAAATAAATAAAAGGTCAAAGTGAAACAAGGAAAATGGAGGGAATAATAGCTAGTTTATTAACTCACAATCAATGGAGGGGGTTAAAAAACCTTGTAATTCTAAATGCTAATGATTCCAATGTGACTGGCGTTTTCCGTTGATATTTGAAAATACGACGTAAACAAAAATAATAACGTAAAAAAACCTTAAAAAAGGGACAAAATGCATCCAACAGCATGAGCAAGAGTCTTGGGGGACGACGTAGCAATTGAAGGGAACATTTATTGCTTCAGTAATAAATAATAATAGTCCGCATTTACGTTACGTGTTAACGGAAAGCTGTGCCTCCCGCGTATTTTCTTCACAAATTGGGAACCTTTCAAGTCCAACCTCATTTCATTCGGCATTCGCTCTGCTCTGCTTCCCTTCCCAACGTCTACAGTAATACTAAATAAAGAATACAATATTCGATAAGAAGGCAAAACAAGATTCCAAATTGTATGACCAGTGACTAGGCTATTATTCTTCTCCCACATGCCACTTCAATTTAATTTTTAACCAAACATATTCACAAATAGAAAACAAAAGAAAAAAAAGAAAAAGAGTTAATCTCCATGACGACATTTCTCGTCACTTGTCGAAATTTCGCTCTTCTATTCCACAGCCCCTTTTCGAATCTTCTTTAGTAATTGATTCCGATCCCTCTCTCTCTCTCTATAAAAGACATTCAGAGTCTTTTTGCGTTAAAAGAGCAAATCGTTTCTGCGCTGCCACGTGAGTGCCGCGTGGCGACAGAGTAAGCAACCGTTACTCCTCGCCGATGGCGATCTCCGATGTGTCTGAAAGCGTAGGCACCGCCTCCGTCCAAAGCGACTCGGATCTCAGACTGCGGCGCAAGTCCAGCGCCACCTCCGCCGGCGGCCTCTTCGACGCCGAAGACGCCGTCAGATATTCAGGCTCCGACGAGTCCTTGAACGGAAAGAGCAACGACGAGAATCAAGATCCCAAGATGAATCATGCAGACTCCGATAATGCGACCGCCAATGACCGAGAACTAGTCGCCGAGGTCAAATACGCTTACCGTCCCTCCGTTCCCGCTCACCGCAGAATCAAGGAGAGTCCGCTCAGCTCCGACAACATTTTCAGACAGGTTTATTTCCTCCGCTGCTTCTTCATTTCAAATCCTGCATGGAGAGTTTCTTGCCTCGTAATCCACTCAATCCACGAAAATGAAAAAATTCTATTATTGTATATGTAATTCGTCGAATCTTACCGGCGGCATACAGTTTTCAATATTTTGTAGTAATAACGATAATACATATCTAGTGTTTGTGCTATTGCTCCCAGTAGGTTTGTAGTTGAGAAAATTATATACGTGGTTAAAAAATTTATTATATGTTAGAGAGCTATTGAAATTTGCGTGTATATAATTGATAGTGGCGTACGAATCTTTTTGAGTTTAACTTTTTTTCTGTATAAATTTTGCGCTGGTTGACTGTCAGTTGTTGGTTGCGTGCTACTTTTTTTTAATCACGAGTACTGGTTGTTAACTTGATCAGTTGTTGCGTTTAATTAAATAAAAATTTGGATATTCTAGTTTTTCCAACCTACTGTTGGTATTGGAGGGGCATGCTTAGTTGTTTTGTTTGTTTATCTTGTGGCCTCATAATGGTTGTTTTGTTTTTTACTAATAATTATTAAACAATAAATTGCAGAGTCACGCAGGACTGTTCAATCTCTGTATAGTAGTGCTTGTTGCGGTGAACAGCAGACTTATCATTGAGAATTTAATGAAGGTTTGCTTCTTCCATTTTTTTATTTATTTCTATTGCGCAAGATTTTTGAATTTCCAATATATAATCATGCATTTATCTACGTGCAGCTGTTTTAACTTTTTTTCTTGTATTATATGTTTTGCAGTATGGTTGGTTGATTAAATATGGCTTTTGGTTTAGTTCAAAATCGTTGAGAGATTGGCCCCTCTTCATGTGCTGGTATGTTTGATGAATCCTCTGAAAAATAAGATTAGTTCTTAAATTGTCATTTGACATTCTGAAACTATATCTATGCTTTGTTTGCAGTCTTAGTCTCAACATATTTCCGCTTGCTGCCTTTCTAGTGGAAAGGTTGGCACAACAAAAGTGTATTTCTGAACCAGTAAGTGATCTTGTCAATTAAGCATGAAAAAACTGTTCCGTGTCCACATTAATTCCTTGATTCTTTGACAAGTAACAATAGTTTCATAATATAAAACGAGATATTTTTTATCACATAATTTTTTATATTTCCATACATGATGAGAATGTTGAATTGAATATTGCAGGTTGTTGTTCTACTTCATGTAATCATCACGATTGTTGAATTCTCCTATCCAGTTTTAGTGATACTCAGGTCAGTATAGTCTTCAAAATTTATTCTAGGGTTTCAAACTTTCAGTTTATAATATCCCTGGCTTTTGTTATTACCAACCGCATAATATATATCAATCTTGGAAGTATTTGCAAATACAATAATGTCTTTATCTAGGAAGGAATTTTAAGATTTTTTTTTTGCATTAGATATTTAATTCCTTTTTTATATATGAACCTTAGGGGTAGGCAAAATGAATTGAATTGAACTTAAAAAAACTACATTGAATTTAAGAAAGGTTTGCCTGAACTGAACTAAACTACGCATATTGAAATAAAGTGAACAACAACCTGAAATATTCAATTCAACATTATACTAATGTGAACAACTTTGTTGTGGGGCAAAATGAAATGAATTAAATTGAACCTTGTCTTGCAAATTCTTATTAGTAGAAATACAAAAGGTTATGTCAAGGAAAAACAAATTTGTTGGTTCTTCATTCTTCAAATATACTAATGTGATAAAAGCAGAAGCTTTGTCTGTTGAAACTATGTAAGGTGTCATCTGCTGTCATATGCATTACATCCATGTAACATTTGCAAGCCTTAATTAACTATAGGATCAAAGCATATCCCTATGTTTCCATCAACAGAAAAGGGGACTACATCTCAGACATTCTTTTCAGACATGAAATTCCTGATAAGGGATACAGTAAAGATGTCTGCTTATTGGATATAATAGCTATAGCCATAGGTAGCTGTTCATTTCATAGATATTAATATAGCAAAGATAGCTTATGGATCTGTTACTTTTCTGTGCAGGTGCGATTCTGCTTTTTTATCCGGTGTCACGTTGATGCTATTTACTTGCATTGTGTGGTTAAAATTGGTGTCATATGCACATACAAACTATGATATGAGAGCACTTACTGTTTCAAATGAAAAGGTAGTAGTTAATTTTCATGAAAAATAATGTTTAAATAAGATCATATGCTATACAATTTATATGATGGTTAGTTTTTGAACCCGATGAATGACCAAACTGTAGTTGTGGTTGTTGTGTTCAAAAACTAAACATACAGTTTTGTTTCATCCTTATTAGAATAACATCTAGCCCACTCCCCTCTCCAATCCTTCCTTCTTTGCTCCTTGCTGATGTTCTGCTATAATCTGTTCAGATTAGTGAAAGATAAACGCTCTGTTTTTCCCCTTATTCAATAATGATTCCCTGCATTATAGGGAGAAACATTACTTGATACTTCGATTATGGAGTATCCGTACATTGTGACCTTCAAGAGTTTGGCATACTTCATGGTTGCTCCTACATTATGCTATCAGGTAGTGGAACTTTTAAGTGAATTGTTTACTTATATACATTTTACAAAATTATTCTGATTTGTTGTTATAGAATTTTATAGTGGACTTGGATTTTTTCTAGTACACTCCCTCACGCCTAGTTCTATTGGGTTTGATGCGTGTATCAAGTGGTGGGTGGTCTTTTTAGAATGGATCTAGATAGATTTGATACCATTTTAGAATGTGGGTTATGGGTCTAACTCAACATTACTGGTTTGTAAGATAAAGGTTGCCTTTGACTTATATAATTTTTGATTGCCTTATCTCTAGTCGATGTAGGATTTGGGTTTTTCCCAACATTAAGAACCTGTTATAACATCACTTGTTGACATGAAAATATAAAGATAGTGTACATTCATGGGACTTCTTAATGATACTGGTTGGCTTTGGTAGCTCTAGTGGTGTTTGCTTTTTTAGTAAGAAATGTGTTCTTTATATATTGAACACTTAACCAATAGGGAAAGAGCATTATGAAGACTGTAATATGTTCATTGTTAGGATTAAGTTGCAAAATTTTTCCAGATTTTGTTTTAGAAGTATTTTTGGCTGTTCACTTGTGTTTGCACTTGCCAAAATGTATTAGTGTGCTGACTTTGTTCTATTATCATGAGATTTTTACTCAAACATGTTTTACTACACGTAAATGTCCTATTTGATGAATTACTGTTGTAGACAAGCTATCCTCGCACACCTTCTGTTCGAAAAGGTTGGGTGTTTCGTCAACTTGTCAAGCTGATAATATTTACAGGAGTCATGGGGTTTATAATAGAACAAGTAAGCACTAGCTGTTAACAAATTTACGGTTCATTTCTTTCCCTTTAATTTCTATTTCTATTCACTAATTCTGCAGTGTTCAAGTTATGACATCATTTTGTTCATAATTTTGCAGTATATGAATCCTATTGTACAAAATTCTCAACATCCTTTGAAGGGAAACCTTCTATATGCCATTGAGAGAGTTTTGAAGCTTTCTGTTCCAAATGTATACGTGTGGCTCTGCATGTTCTACTGCTTTTTCCACCTTTGGTTTGTATTCCCTCCTTTTTTTTTTTGTATATATATGTATGTGATTGTGTTCTTTTGAAAAATTTATCCACATGAAATTTCTATTACTAACCTTAAATTTTGAAAAGTTTGTAGCTTTCGATGCTTGTATTTATTGCTGAGAAAATTGTTGAGCATGAAAACTAGCAATAGTCAAAAGTTGACTTCTTCCTGGGCAATTTTCTAATAATAATGATGATTTTATGTGTCTATTTGTTATTGCTTGATCTTCAAACTTTTCTGAAGCTTATATCTACCTTATAAACTTGAAGAGTAATTGCAACATTGATGAATAGATCTCGCTGATTAAAAAGCATGTGTATGCAAGACTGTTGTCCGAAGTATATGCTTTTTCAGATGTAAAATTTGTTTTATGGCCATCTTTACTGCAATACTGCCGATTGTTATTTTAAGTGATTCTCTGATTTTCTCTCTAGACGATATTTGAAGTGTTGAAAGTATACAGCTTAAGTAGAGGAAGAGAGAGAAAAAGAATATTCAATATAATACAATTATCTTGATATGGTGTAATGTGATGTGTTATAAAGTACTAATTCGATCGTCCTATTTATACTAATAATTAGGTCAACTACTAGTGTAATACTACTAGTAGAATTGTAGAAGCCCCGGCCAACTAATATAATAGGGCCAAATCCTAATTAAAAAGGTAAATTAGGAAACATAATAAACTTGGGAAATATTGCAAAAGATTGCTTTCTCAATTGGGCAACCAGTTTATTTCACAATAATAGAGTATTAGAGAGAACTCTTCTCTTTCTATTGTAAGCTGAGTGGCTGTTGACCATGTCAGCATAGTTTGGTTAGCCTGGGTTCTGTTTGCCACATCAGCACAGTTAGTTAGAAGGTTGTTAGCTTCAATGTAAGCTGATTGGCTGTTGACAAGTCAGCATAACTACCTAGCTTCTCTTATACACTTCTCTGTCACTATATAACCTGCTCTCTATCATTGTAGCGATTAGAATATCAATAATAACAAAATTCAGTTTTCTTCTATCTCTCTCTCTGATTATTCACACACAATAAAATCTAAAGATCTTTGAAGTTATTCTAAAAGATTCTTAGATGCGTGGAAGATATTATAAGAAGTTTTTTAGATATTCAAATGCTCTCCTTCAAGTTGAATCTTACTAAACTTTAAGTTGTTATGAATAAAACCACTAAAAGAATGGTAAAATAATATGGGAACAATAAACTGTAGCTGAATAAATTACTCAGGTATGTTGGGGGTGCTGTGGAGAGATAATGTGCGAGATGAGCACTGCTGGAAAACAACTTGGAGAAAATGGCTGGAATGACAGACAAGCAAAAGAGCTAGTTTGAAGTTTGCATGGCTGTGGAAGGCCCAAAATTTACAAACTAATGAAGAGTTGCATTCAAAAACTTCAAATTGCAAGAAAGTTTAGGAGGTGAAAATTGAAAATGAGGCTGGTTTGAATTTCTGGCATTAAAGAATCCATCGTTGGTGACAAAAGAGGCTAATACTGGTATGATTGTCATTAGGTAGACAATTCACTACCAGATTGATTGTCAGTGGGAAAAGGTGCCACTACACCACAGGAAGGATACTTGGCAGGGAGATTTATCACCATAAGAATGATTAAACTGTGGTTAAAGATTGCATCTTTATCATTTTTGCAGTACCTATCAATGCCAAGATAGCATTGGAAAACCAATAGTATTACCATACAAAGGAAGAGAGCAAAGACAAGTAATTTAGTAAACTTGACAATGAATGCCAAAAGTGCTTCCAAACAATGGCAAAGAAAGATGCCTTGGAAAAAAAAAAAAGTGAAAAGAGTGTCAAACATAAAGAAGTGGAAGCTAAGCATGAATAACCTACAAAATAAAGGCAAACAGTTAGAAAGTTGAGTCCATACAGACTCAAATAGGGTCAAATGGCAACCATAATATGGTATGTAGTGTGGGAACATCAATCAAACAGTAGAAACCATCAAACAGAGACACTATAATGATGGTGAGGATGTCTGAAAACTGATGAAAAGAAGGCCAAACATTCTTTCACACATTGATGACAGTCACTGAGAAAGAAACATGGAAGAACATCAGTAGTTTGAAAGTAAAAAGAAAATTTCTTATTGCCATAATTCAATTGGTACACTGGAGAAAGACATTGTCATAGTGGAGTTCCAGATTTTATGGAAATCAGGACCAATTAAAAGTTTCAGGCAGAGAGAGAGAGAGAGGGAAAGAGAGGACACATTGATGACAGTCACTGAGAAAGAAACATGGAAGAACATCAGTAGTTTGAAAGTAAAAAGAAAATTTCTTATTGCCATAATTCAATTGGTACACTGGAGAAAGACATTGTCATAGTGGAGTTCCAGATTTTATGGAAATCAGGACCAATTAAAAGTTTCAGGCAGAGAGAGAGAGGGGGAAAGAGAGGAAAGAATAATAGACATGTTTATTGTTGATATGGTACGAAATGATATGTTACAGAATGCTAATCCATTGGTTCTCTTTATACAGATGATTAGGTCAAATACTAGTTAGTACTGCTAGTACCAGCCTAAGCCTGATAATATCGCATGACTACTAACCATATAATAAAATCAGAAAACAATGGCTAAGATTTCTTAATCTATTAAGTATTTATTTGATTCCATATTATACTCCAAAATATAAATATATTCAAAAATCTTTTTAAGATGCACCAAAGAATCTGAGACATTTTATACAAAAAAGAAATTGTAGTGGTTTACTTTACTAATGAGTTTGCTTACTTTTTCTTTGAGATACCTTACCATTCTCTGCACTTTTAATCTTTGTTCCCTTCTCATCAATAAGATTCTTGTTTTATGAAAATAGTTTAGATCTGTGTTTTCATGTACAAGTGCTTACCTTTCAGGTTTTGATCAACATGCCTTTTTTGTTGTTAGTAAAAGTAGTATTTTAGAAAAGTTTATATAAAAATCTATTCATTTGTTGACTTGTTCCTCCAAAAAACTGAGTAATATTGGTAGTGGTTATCCTTAGAAACTCTGCTGCAATGTAGGTTAAATATACTTGCAGAGCTTGTTCGATTTGGTGATCGTGAGTTCTATAAAGATTGGTGGAATGCCAAGACTGTTGAAGAGGTAGGCTTTGTCCTGGCATGTTCTTGGATTTAGTTACTGCACTTTCTTGAAGAGAACTTACGACTTTTCTTTGTTGATTGCATTTATGCTGCTGCTTTCATCAGTATTGGAGAATGTGGAATATGGTATGTTTCCTTTTCAGTGAGATAATATCATGTGCTTGCCCGATTTTCAGATGACATTCTTGTCAATGCATATATATATATATATAATATATATAATATTATGAATTATGATATAGTTATGCCACTGGTTATATAGGCATGCTTAATATATAAGGCTATTTTAACAAAATAAGGAATTGGGAAGAAAAAACAAAATTGCAGTTCCCCCAAAGAATTCTGTCTTAAATGTTCCATCATTTACTGAATATATGGTTCCTAAACCATATGCTAGAACATATCAGCAATTGTTTATAACTTTCATTTTGTAGTTCAAACCAGTACAATTTAACTGATGGATTCTTTTATAATATGCAGCCTGTGCACAAATGGATGGTTCGCCACATATATTTTCCATGCATAAGGAATGGTATACCCAAGGTAAAATGAAGCAACATCCTACCATCTTGGTGGGTGAACCCTAAACTGTAAATTTTAGGCACAAATGAAAAGTATGCCTTCAGAAGTGTCTGTTTTTTTGGATATAGTTACTCTATAATGATAAATAAATATTTTGTAAATCATTTATATATATATTCTATCTAATTAATGTAAAACATTAACTTTCATGCACAACTTGTTATGTATGGAGTAAGAATGAGCTATTGGTAAATATATATATATATATTGCATTGAATTGTTATGGTAATTCGAATTGTACTGTTTTGACTTGTTAGTCTATTAAGACAGGATCAATTCTTCAATATTATTTTATTTTTTATTTTTTTTAAATTTTTAAAGGAAAATATTAAAAAAATATATATATATATATATATATATTATGTAAAGCAAGTAAAGATCTTGCACTGCTTAAACTGAAAAGCAGAATTAAAATTTTCATGAAGTTTATGTTTGATTCGATTTCCTTAAAATCAGACCTCATTTCATCTTTTGTGCTTGTTCCTTTACATTTACCTTCTTTGATATCTCCACATTCCATATTGCAGACTTAGTTGTTTGTGAAATGTTTTCAACTGATATACAATATTCAAGTATTTTCTGTTTTGTCACTTCAGATATCGACTTTAGCATAATTAGTCACATGCACTCGCATGTGGATTGACAAGATTAAACAAGAATAGTAGATTAGTAGAGGAGCTCACTTTATTTTTCTCATGTTCTATAATTTTGTTCTGTTATTCTTTGTTTTCATCTTTCTCTTTTTAGTTGTGTTTGTGATTGTGATTTTTGTCATGTACAGGGTGCTTCTGCATTAATTGCCTTCCTGGTCTCTGCGGTGTTTCATGAGGTGTGTGGTTCATCTCTGTTCCTCTCTCCCCAATTGTCCTCTCTCCCTTTTGGTAGTTTGTTATAATTTGTCATTGAGTAAACGTTTATAAAGTTGAATTTAATCTTTATTTTGCAAAACTAATTTTAATAAAAAATTGGTTTGAAGTGAAATAGTTTATGGTTAGATGTCTCTAAATGACATGCAAAAAAATAGGGCATTTGTTCACCACATAAGCATCAATGTTTTATTTTTATTTCATTTGAACTTTAAACCCACTTTCACGTATGAAAATCAAACATCATAAAAAAGTGGAAAACATGATTATGGGGGTTGGGCAATGCATAACCAAGTTCCACAGACCACAACATCTATATTGGCTAATCATGGTTGGGGAGAAATTTGCATCTATGAAGCACGGACATTTCTCTTACAGTGAGGTGTCAGACAGAGTGTTGGATGTGTTTTTGACAGACACGTCAGTCACTCTTCATTAGGTATTTAATTAAAAAATACTTTTCTGTTGGCTTGGATAGTTGGAGCTTGCATATCCATATGGAATATGAACAAGCAAGTGACATGATTGAATCTGTGTGATAATGTACACAAAGCACGGGTAATAACAACAGAGAATAATTGTCTAATTACCATAATTATGTAAATCCTAGAATTTCCTAATTTCCATAATTAAGGATATCTAGCAATATTCAATAATTGGCTTTAACCGGAATATAAGATATCTACAATATCTAATGGTCCCCTCGAGCTAGAGCATATAAAGTATATTCACTGAGCTAGTTTCAAATATAATCAATTCCAGGACTCCTTAAAGACTTTGTGAAGACGGCTGTCAATTGATTGTTTGAATTGACAATATTAGTGGTGATGTCACTTGTGTTGTTATATTCATTATTGGTATTGTTGTTTTAATTGAGTTGTGTCATTTATTGTATTGCCTTTAATTTTTTCCTCCTTTAGCAATTTTGCTCATTCTCATTTGAGTGCAGTTATGCATTGCCGTTCCTTGCCATGTGTTCAAGTTGTGGGCTTTTATAGGAATTATGTTTCAGGTAAAGGCTTATTGCCGTTTTCTCCTTCTATTTCTCCACATTATTAAAGCTTCAATTATTATTCAAGTATAAAATTTGCATAAACTTTCGTATACAGAAATCTAAAGATTTTTCCTTTAATCGAACCATAAATAGGTAAATCTTCAAAACATTAATATATATACCAAGCCATAGCAAAACAAAGAATTTGTCTTGCCCTTCCCCTATATAGAAATCTAATCTGAATACTGCTCATTACCACTTCTAGGTGCAGGAAGATACCATTCACACTATGGTTAACAAAACAAAAAATATGGAGTTAATATACACTTTGCCCTTGAAAGTGGTAGCTTGTGTTGCTTTCTTTTTTACTTACTACAAAAGAAATCCTATGGCTTAATTAGGGGTATGGGAAAAGATGAATGCATGTGAACATTTTTCTTCCTTGTTCTTCATCTTAGCAGAATAATTGAAAGATCTATCCTTACTTTTCAGTTTTTTTCTCAGAGACAATTTTTTAATGTTAATGTAACATTTTTCTTCATAATTGATTAGACAATTTTATATTTACACAATCTGTGGTCTACTATAAGTCCATAAGATGAAACCAGAAACCAACGAAGATATAAAACGCTGAAATATGTTAAAAAAGATATGGAGGAAGTAAACTTGGATACTCTAAACCATATGTGGGGACATGACCAAACAACGACTCACTGAAGACTCAAGAGCACTATTCTAAAATTCCCACTGAATGTGTCTCTTTCACCTTCTTTGTTAACATATACTTTCATATGTGGGGACCATTGTTTTTTATTTCATAAAATTCCCACTGAATGTGTCTCTTTCACCTTCTTTGCAAAAAAAAAAAAAACAACTACTTTCCCCAATATAAGAAATGAAAAATCTGTAGTGAGTGTTTAAATCCAGTTCTATGGCCAAGCGAAGGATAGTGTTGTCTAGACAAATTAATAATTATGACAACGGTACTTTTAGTTCACTTGATGTGATAATGACGAATGTCTTTTCCCTCTTTCTAGGTTCCTTTGGTCTTGATCACTAATTACCTGCAAAATAAATACAGAAACTCAATGGTATGTCCCTAAAGTGTCCTATTTAAGAATTTTGGTCTATTAATAAGGTATCTTATAAGATATATTCTTCAAGTTGATATTTGTTTTTTATTGCTATTTTATGCACGGCAGGTTGGAAATATGATTTTTTGGTTCATATTTTGTATTCTTGGGCAACCTATGTGCGTATTATTATACTACCATGACTTGATGAATAGAAAAGGAGAAGTTGACTAAGGCAGCATTGCATAATTAACTGTCGATGTGGATGAGCTTTTGCATTTTCTGAGATGTAGATATCTTTGTTTTGTATGGGGATCATCATCTGCTTTGACAGTGATTCCTCTGGGTTAAGCTTTTCCATGTGATTTGCGAGTCTTTGGACGTTAATTCATCTTGATCTATGTACTTTATAACTTGCTCTTGCACTTTCATCAATATGCAAGCAATTTTGGAAGCAAACTAACAATGTCATGTGGCAGCTGCTAATAGCTGTAATTGTTAGTTGAGTTGAGTTGAGGGATAGCTCATAGTTGTAATTGCCCAAGTGGTTTGACTGTATCTAGTTTCTAGAAAGTTTTATGAATGATGATGGCCATCATTCAGTGCACTAATAACATGCTAATTTCGTAAATGAGGAATACGGGACAAGAGTACCTTTGGTGCGTAATATTTGTGACAAAATCTTTGCCAACTGCCAGTTTACATTTATTTTAGCTGATTGTTGAAACATCAAATCCATGAGATGTCTTGTCCCCTTCATTTGTGGAACTTACATTAATGATGGCTTTGATCAAAGATGCAAATAAGACGGACTTTAAATAGAAGATATATGACATTACTTATTTCAAATTCGGTCTGTCTTATTTAATAAAAAAGATAAGTTTAAATTTTTAAAAAGTTATTTATTTAAAAAGGTTGACTTAGGCATTAAAAAGGTTTCTCAAGTCTAATATAGGTCAGATTATTTAACTATATAATATAATAAAAGTTGATATACATATTATATTATTAATAATGTAATTAAATAAATAAGCTTGTAATAAAAAATTTAAATTATTTATATTTTTGATATTTTTGTTACACTTAAATGTTTTATATTTCGTGTAAAATTTAAGAAATAGAAAATAAAAACTCTTGACAATCACATTTTCGTCTAATTTTTTTTTTGTCTCATGACTAGTTATTAATATTCTAAATTCCAAATTAAATAAAATCAAATATATGGAGTATCAAATTATTTTCAAATTTTGTTTTAAAAATTTATAAACTTGATTTATGCATTAAATTTTTTTAATTCAATGGTTAAATTCTTAAAATTTAATATAAAATATGAATTTTTGAGTGAATTAAGTTTAAAAATTCTCATCTTTCTTTTCTCTTCCTCTTTCATTCCCTCCCTCCACCTCTCTATCTACATGCATGCACATACACATATAAAAGATTACTCTCTTTTATGCATGAGTTGTCCATTTTTAGTTTTTATTTTTTTAGATTTAAATTTTAATAATAATAAAGTTAAAAAAATTTAATCTGTAAATTAAAATATATATATATATATATATAATATAATAAATAAAATATATATATATATATATATATATATATATATATGTACATGTGTATTTAAAATTAGATTTGTTGGCTCATTTATAATTAAGTTTATGGACTTGTTAAACTAAAATATGTTTTTAAACAAATAAATAAGTTGCTTTAAAAGTGGTAAGGTCATACCTATAAAAAAAATTATGATAAACAGTAGGTTAAATTTGAACTTTAATTTTATAGAATAAGTCTGACCTGTTTATTTAAAGTTTAGTCTGATCTGATTTACTCACATTCTTACTTGGTGATTTACATTTGTAAAATGAAAATGAAGAGATTAAATTTTTGAAATTGAAAAAGTAAGATATAGAAGTGTAATTATTATTTATTTTATTACATCATAATTAATATAATATTATGAGTACACTTTATGTTTTGAAGTATTCATAATCCATGACTTTCAAATTAACTATATACAAATACATTTTATCTTATCTTGTAAAAATATTTTTAATGTCATTATCACGAGGTTGTACAATTTGAGTTGCTTAATTTTATGCTATATATCATATATAAGATACAATGATTTATTTTAAAAGAAAATTTAAGATTATATTTAGCATCAAATCAAAGAAAATATAGTAACCACCATCTTACTAGGAGGTAGGATGACAACATACGATAAAAAGTAAAATATAATTCAAGAATCAAAGACAACTAGAAATATGTATAAGGAACAACCATAAAAAAATAGAACAAGTGACTCAATCTAAATAACTTGTATTATAGATGCTCTAAAATGTATCCCTTCTTTAATGAAGAGTTAAATATTATATTTTATAGGTTTATATATCTTTTTTACTTTTCATAATATATCCATTTTACACTTTTGGTTCCTATAAAATTTTATAAATATTTTTGGATTTTGGTTCTTATAAAATTTTATTATGGTTTTTATACTTGTAATTATTAACCAATGATGTGTCAACCATCTATAAAAGAACAAATCAATTGTTTTTTAAATTAAATTATAGGACTAAAATGAATATTTTATAATATAAGAGGAATCAATAATAAAAGTTTATAATTTTATATGACAAAAAAATATCATTAAGAATTTTACAAGAATTATTTTATAGGATTTATAGGGGAAAATTGTTAAAACTTTATAGGTATAAATAAAATAAAATAACATATTATAGCTTATAGAAACATATTTAAAACTATTTTATCTTACTCAAATTTTTTTCATCAAAACACATTAGGTTAATGCCTTGTGGGAGAAAATAGATTAAGTCAAAGTTTGATTCGGGGCTTGTTTGATAATTTTATAATCCTATTTTGATTTGTTAAATTGTTACAAACTTTTTTTTATAGTTTGGTTTAACTTTATATAAGTTTAGCCTATCTTATTAGTTTCTTTAAAGATTTGTTTTATATTAAACAATTGCTAAATACATCTATCTTATTGTCACATGTATTCCCTTTCATTATTTTGTTAATAACTTAAATATTTTATCTCTTGTCACTCATTTTTTTATATAAATAAAATAGCCTGAAGGCCAACGAACAAACAACTATGACCGAAGTCAATTGTTGAGTCATCAACTAACAAAGGTAAAACAAGAAAAGTAGGAACATGGTAAAAAAATCTTAAAGCTTAAATTCATAGTCATTCCATAGCCAGTTAGAGCATCTATTGAAGAGTTGGTCTTCCTGTAGGTAGTGACAAAGCTTGAACCAAAAATTTAGGAGAGCTAGCCAACATAAAATTTAATATATAAATTAAATATGTAATATTATATTATATATCTAAAATTTAAGTTGTAGATAAAACACAAAAGATCAAAATAATACACCATAAGCCTAATATCACCTATGACAAGTCTGCATAGCAAGATATATATGTGTGCAAAATAATGTAACAAGTTTCCAATATATTTTATATAAACAAAAGTTATTTAATGTATAAACCATTTTGTTAATCCCAAATCTTCCAAGATGAGCCCACCACATTAGTAGATACATTCATCTTGACACTACTAGAAAAGGTTGGGTCAAAAAATTGAGACAATATGATACACCATGTTAGAAACAATATTAAATTAAATGATTAGAAATTACCTTAAAGTGCAGATTTGTGCGTTTTAGGTACTTGAAATCATCGATAATTGATTTAGAACTAAAACTTTTGAAATCTTTCTTTTAATAGGTTCTTAGATCTTTGGAAGATTATCTAAAATCTTGAGATTGTTATGAGCTTTAGAGAACTCAATTTCAAAGGATTTTAGCCCATCAGGAATAATTTGAAATCTTCCAAACATCTCATTAATAGTTTCATTCTTCTTCATAGAGAACAACTCATAGTGTCACTAAATAGTAATAACTCATTTAAGTCTAACGTCTTTAGTGCTCTCATGAGTTACCCTGATGGTTTCTCATATTTCTTTGACATTTTTGCATTTACAAAACTTCTTGTATTTCATTCTTGACAAAGAGCAAGACAAGATGTATTTTGCTTTGGTGCAAGTTGTAGGGTGTTGTAGTCATCCTGCATGTACTCACTTTTTGTCTTGGTTATTACAACATCACCTCCTGTGATGATCTTCTAGAGATGATATTGTTAAGTCTGAAGCCCTTTCGAAGATCTTTGTGAAGATGAAGTTTTAGTTTTGATGTAACATTGTTTAGCTTTGTTTAACTTTGTTAGAAAAGAATGGCACAATCCAAGAGGGGGGGTGGTCACCTTAAGAGAATGGGTTGCATTTAGAATTCAAGAAAGACATATTGAATCTGGAAACATCTTGAATGCAAGAAGACTATTTCAACAATTTGTGGTGGATGCTTATACTATGGTGGAGTCCCAAAGATTGTCATTCATAAGAAATAATCAAAAAACAATTAGATCAGATGTGCTTAATGTGTTATAAGAAGTAGTGGGTAGAGATGAAATTGATCCTTCTTCTATTGGAAAACATGTCATATTACTACCATCTTTTATTGGTGGTATGAGATACATGTTTAATAACTGTCAAGATGCAATGGCAATATGTAAGAGGTTTGGATATCCTGATCTTTTCATCACTATTACATGCAATACAAATTGGAGTGAGATTCGTGATTTTGTTACTGAAAGAGGTTTAACTGCTTCGGATAGACCTGATATTGTGTGTAGAGTTTTTAAAATGAAGTTGGATGAATTGATGAATGAATTTAAAAAAAAAATATTTGGCAAAGTTAATGTAGGTATATCATGCTATTAAAACATTTGAATTTATTATTTTGTCCATATTTTTAGTTGGATTATTAATTTGATTATTTTGTATTATAACAGGTATGACACAGTAGAATTTCAGAAAAGAGGACTTCCACATGCCCATATACTGTTGTGGTTAGATGGTGAAAACAAAATCATAACTGCAAAAGATATTGATAAAGTCATCTTTGCAGAGCTCCCAAATCCATCTTTGTACCCAAAATTAGCTGAGGTAGTTTCTACTTACATGATACACGAACCATGTGGAGTTGCTAATTACAAGTCACCTTGCATGAAAGAAGGTCGATGTTCCAAATATTATCCAAAAAAATTTCAAAATATAACTACAATTGATGATGAAGGATACCCATCTTACAAACGAAGAGATTCAGGTCTATTTATCCACAAAAATAGTGTCAAGCTTGATAATACAAGTGTGGTTCAATACAATCCCATTCTTTTGATGAGGTACAAAGGCCATATCAATATTGAGTATTGCAACAAATCTAATTCCATAAAATATTTATTCAAGTATGTCAACAAAGGTCCTAATAGAGCTACAATTGAAATTAGCAACACTATAAATGAGGATCAGTCACCAATAATTGATGAGATTAAAAGATATTATGATTGCAAATATCTCTCACCATGTGAGGCTGTTTGGAGACTCTTTGCTTTTGATATTCATGAAAGATGGCCACCAGTGCAAAGGTTAATTTTTCATGTACCAAATGAACAATTAGTGTTCTTTAGTGATGACGAGAAGATTGATGATGTTGTTGACCATAATCAGCAACTAAATTCCATGTTTTTGGCTTGGTTTGAGGCCAACAAAACATTCCTTGAGGGCAAAAATTTGACTTATGCAGAGTAT